ACACACACACACAAACACACATACAACACACACACAAACACACACACACACACACATACACATACACACACATACACACACAAACATAAAAATGTATGCAAGTATATAAGAGTTTTCCGGGATTTTCTAAAGGTTAAAACTGATAGGTTCTAAATTGCATCCTTCCCTATGTTATTTCTCTCTGAGTGTGTGTGTGTGTGTGTGTGTGTGTGTGTGTGTGTGTGTGTGTCGTTATGTCTGTCTGTCTGTCTGTCTGTCTGTTTGTCTGTCTGCCTGTCTGGCTGGCTGGCTGTTTATCTGCCTTTCCATCTGTCTGTTTTGTCTGTTTGTCAATCGGCTATAACATTTCCTTCCCTCTCTGATCGCTTGTCTGTCAATTTGTCTGTCTTTGTTAAACAAAATACTTATTTCTGTAATTATGAACATATTTTACTTTTATAAAAGGCAGGTAGAGAGATGGCACTGCGGAGAGCTACCGTAGTGTCCATCATTTTCGCACTATGTGGATGCCTCGGCGGGGATGTAACGACAACACAGGCCGCAGATGTGACTGCAGATATGACTACAAATGTGACTACACAGACAACTGATCAAACTCCTGATCAAATAACACACCAAACAACAGATGTGACAATAGAAGCAACAGATCTTACAAAAGTTCAAAGAACAGATCAAACAACAGATCAAACAACAGATGTGACTACAGATCAGACAACAGATGTGACTACAGATCAGACAACAGATGTGACTACACAGGCAACAGATCAAACAACAGATCTTACAACACATCAAACAACAAATCAAACAGATCAAACAACAGATAAAACAACAGATGTGACTACACAAGAAACAGATCAAACAACAGGTGTCACTACGCAGGCAACAGATCTAACAGCAGATCTAACAACAGATCAAACAACAGATCAAACAACAGATGTGACTACACAGGCAACTGATCAAACAACAGATGTGACTACAGATCAGACAACAGATGTGACTACTCAGGCAACTGATCAAACAACGGATGTGACTACAAATCAGACAATTGATCAAACAACAGATGTGACTACACAGGCAGCTGATCAAACAACAGATGTGACTACACAGGCAACTGATCAAACAACAGATGTGACTACACAAGCAACAGATCAAACAACAGATGCAACTACAGATCAAACAACAGATGTGACTACAGGTCAGACAGCAGATGTGACTACACAGGCAACAGATCAAACAACAGATCTGACAAAAGATCAAACAACAGATCAAACAACAGATGTGACAATAGAAGCAACAGATCAAACAACAGATGCAACAACAGATCTTACAAGAGTTCAAACAACAGGTCAAACAACAGAACAAACAACAGATGTGACTACAGATCAGACAACAGATGTGACTACACAGGCAACTGATCACACAACAGATGTGACCACAGATCAGACAAAAGATGTGATTACACAGGCAACTGATCAAACAACAGATGTGACTACACAAGCAACAGATCAAACAACAGATGCAACTACAGATCAAACAACAGATGTGACTACAGGTCAGACAGCAGATGTGACTACACAGGCAACAGATCAAACAACAGATCTGACAAAAGATCAAACAACAGATCAAACAACAGATGTGACAATAGAAGCAACAGATCAAACAACAGATGCAACTACAGATCTTACAAGAGTTCAAAAGACAGGTCAAACAACAGAACAAACAATAGATGTGACTACAGATCAGACAACAGATGTGACTACACAAGCAACAGATCAAACAACAGATGTGACTACAGATCAGACAACAGATGTGACTACTCAGGCAACTGATCAAACAACGGATGTGACTACAAATCAGACAATTGATCAAACAACAGATGTGACTACACAGGCAGCTGATCAAACAACAGATGTGACTACACAGGCAACTGATCAAACAACAGATGTGACTACACAGGCAACTGATCAAACAACAGATGTGACTACAGATCAGACAACAGATGTGACTACACAAGCAACAGATCAAACAACAGATGTGACTACAGATCAGACAACAGATGTGACAACACAGGCAACTGATCAAACACCAGGTCAAACAACAAATCAAACCACAGATCGAACAGCAGATCAAACCACAAATCGAACAACAGATCAAACAACAGATGTGACTACAGAGACAACAGATCAAACAACAGATCTAACAACAGATCAAACAACAGATGTGACTACACAGGCAA